CTTTTTCATGAAAAGTTTTCACACGTCACGAATTCCTATACTTTCGTCCGTGCAGTATCATTAAAAAAAATATCATGAAGAGACGAAGAAAAGATTCAAATTCTCTATTTTAACGCACTAACTTTGAGCCGCAGCCACGTGGTTAGAGGGCTCACTATACTACCCTCCTTTCGAAGCTCGATTTTTTCTAAAGACAACAAGAAAGAAAGAAAAAGAGAGAGAGAGAGAGAGAGAGAGAGAGAGAGAGAGAGAGAAAGAGAAAGAATCCACTAAAAATTCATTGATGACATCACGAAGAACATTCTCCTCGCATCGGTTTCCATCGATCTTTCGAAGATCACCCTTTTCGTTTGTTAAGTCGATGATCGACGCGTTACGATGATGATACAGATAAAGGTGAGAAAAAGAAATAGATAGACAAAAAGAGAAAGAGAGAGACTGACAGACAAAGAGAGAAAAAGGAAATAGTCGTCATCGTTTTCGAAAAAAAAGAAAAGAAAATAGAAGTAACGAAAGAAAAAATAAAATAAAATAAAATATATCAAGTGCTATTTTTCTCTCACCGGTGAAAAAATAAAGAGATAGAGGAGATAGAGGGAGAAAGACAGACAGGCAGCCCTCGCAGCTTCCGCTGGAGCTCCGACCGTAACACACGTCGGTGGCTGGTCGCGTACTGAAGTTTCCACTGCGAATCCGGCATCCGACTAGATCCCACACCGGGCATCCAACCCCACCGCTATACATTCTATCTCTATCTCTCTCTCTTCCACCACCTTTCGCCGGTGAAAACTACCCCCTCCATTTGGAACCTACCACTCGAAACCGTCACCATCCCCTATATACCGTCTCCCACCACTACAAATCTCTCTCTCTCTCTCTCTCTCTCTCTCTCTCTATCTATCTATCTATCTTTTTATTTCAAATCTCTATATCTTTCTCTCTCTTTCGAGCCGCTATGACACCTAAGCGTACACGTACGAAGATACCGTATATTAATGAAGTGCTTTCTTCTTATGTCATGGGAAATAGGAGAGAAAATCCTGTTGCGGCTAGTCGACACGTCCCCGTTTCCTCTTCTTATTAACGAAAAGAAAAGGAACGAAAGTGCACGATAGCTTGTCGTTTCATTAAAACAAATCTATCCGATCTTTGATTTTATAGTGAAGATCTCTCTCTCTTTCTTCCTCTCTCTCTCTCTCTCTCTCCCTCTCTTTCTCTTTTTCTCTCTATCTCTCTTTCTCCCTCTACTTTATTGATCGGTAATTTCCACATAATTTTTAAGTGACTATCCTTTGAACAACGAAGTGATAATGACGATTCAATTACGTCGATATCAGTTGATTAGCGTGCTCTAAGTACCTAAATATCTATTGACGTCCGATATTAATTAGAGAAAATTTGACGTAGATATACACGGCAGTCGTAGCCATGATAGATCGAAGTCATAACGGATTATAAATATTTAATCTGTCGTATTGTTTATTGTCGATATCAAACAACAAATAGCATTTCATCGAACGTCAAACATACTTGAATAATGAGATAATATAAATTTTCGTCAAACGTATCGTGGTCATCGATCGATTTAATATCACTATGTTACATTATCTATGTACATATCATATATACACATTGATTTTATATCCTTTTTATTATTTCAATTAATAATTGCTAATACAACTTGTTAATCTTCGATATTTAAAATCCATTCGATTTATGGGAATAAGAATTTCAAAATGGAGCAAGACAAGATGATTTTATCATCAATTTAAAATCAATACGAAATGCAACGTAAACGTGTATAAGTTTACGTCAGTAAATGCATCGAAAACTTCCAAGATAGGGAACTGATCTTGTGGTTGTCCAAGATGATTAACCCTCTCATATGTACGAGCCTCTTACGTGATTGTATTAAAATACTTTATGCATCAGAATATGGAATAATTGGTAACGTAGATATGATAAGATATTTCTTACTTAAAATATTTCTTACTTAAAACATTTCTTACTTAAAATATCTTACTTTAAATAAGATATTTGGACAAAAAGCATATTTTAAATGCACTCATTCAACATTCTGCGATCTCTCACAAGATCTTTTATCTTTTTTTTTTTCCTTTAAGAGTGTTCATCACCTTTCGCTTTAAGTGTGTGTAACTTTAGCGACAAGTATGGACAAAATATGAACTACAAGCGCAAGCAGAAAACACCACCTTCATCATGCGCCTATCGTATCAGTATAAACTTGTGTAAGTTATAGCTCTATCACGCGTAATATAACAACCGAGTTGGTGTAGATTTGAGCAAGTATTATCAGTAAGCTATGAACTCATACTTTTCAGTCCCTCAGATTTATATTCTTCTTTGATAGTAGTGTACCTCTTGCAATAATAGATATTAGATACGACACAGCATCAATACACATCTACTTTATGATATAAATCCATAAATAATAAATGAATATAATTAATCCACATAATAACTATTATATAAATTTGCGACAAAAAAAAATAAAATTTTATCGAATATTTTGTAAAGAATAATAATTAAAGAATATTTATATATCAAATATTATTTTATATAATATATGTGTATCTTTTCATCTTATCACTATTATTACACACTTATTATTATATTTTGATATTATATATTATTATTAGTAGTAGTAGTGATAGTAGTAGTAGTAGTAGTAATAAAAATTATATAAAATGGACTACTAAAGGAGAAACGATAAAAAAAGCAGCGCTGTAAATTCTATCTCATATAATATAAAAACGAACTCATGTTTCAACTTTTATTAAAATAATATATAATATATACATAAAGTAATATATATACATTTATACAAAAAAATATATGTAAAAAAAAGAAACGAAAAATAGAAAACTGACTGTATCATCTACTTCGAAACCAGAATTTTCTGCATTTATATCAATTTACATGCTTTTTGTTATTCTATTAAACGTTGCTTTTGAAATTTTTATATCATTAATATATAAAATATAAAAGGAACTACAAATTTTTCTAAAACTTGAGAAACTCAGGAATTAAGGCTCTTTAACGTGAACGAATGAAAACATATTTCTTTATTTTTGCCATAGAATCGTCTATCCAAAGCTCATTAAAATTCCCGAATGATTTATCATTACTTCTCCGTTTATTTCTCGAATTCCACGCATTCGGAATGGATCAGATAATCTGAACATAAATTTAAGAGTACACGACAGGCAGACAATCGTCTATTTCACAAAAGAAAAAAAAAAGTTATAGCAATCAAGCATACATATGAAAATTAGTAGTGGGGATATGGTCTTCTCTTTCATCTCAAATTTCAAAGGGCGCCACTATACGAAACTTATTTGTCACGAAAAATGTCGGAAATAGCATTTACATCACGAATGAATCCAGACATAATTCTTAACCGATTTTGAACGTGAAAATCATTTCTTCGTATTTTTTAAAAAATTTTATTTTTAAGCATAAATTATTCTTGAAAGAAAACACTACTTTTTTATACGATTGTTTTCAAAGTAAATAAAACTTTTTCAAAAATTCGAAAAAATCATTTCCTCGTTTAAACCTTCATCTTTAAAACGAGATTTTGTTCATAAAAATCAGTTAAGAATTATGCGTGAACTCATTGTTGGCGTAAACTGTTATAAAATTAGCGGTGATGAACTGCCTAGACTATTAGATATCATGTGTTACAATTATTTTCGTGCATGCATGTATTCGAGGAACTTCAAATTTATTATTTTATTTTAACCGACAAATTTTAATAATTCAATTATTTTTTATTAAATAATGCCATCTATTACGTGTAACACATAATTCCATTTGAAATATATCGATGAAATAAATCCGATAACGCGATATAATGCAATTAAATAAGTCGTACGTATATATAATAAGATGTTCCAGAATAAATGGGGAAATATTTTAGAGGCGACTTCAGCACATAAAAACTAGGAACATTTAATCAGAAAGGTCCTTTAATTAAAAAGAAAAAAAAAGAATTCATCTATTGAAACAATGTGTGAAGTAATGTGAAAAAATGCACAAAAAAAAAGTTAATTTCTCTATCTAATAAACGAAGGATAAATAATAGAAAAGCATTTATTGATTTTTTCTTCAAATGTATTTATCTTGATTGTACCTTTCATCACTCTTGACATTTATAAAAATGTTAAATAATATATAAATATATTATTAATCGTTATTTACAGAGCACTTATTTGAATACTTACAATTAGTACAAATTTTTACGTTTGCTTATATACAAACGACTCTAATCTATGATTAATAATAATCATCTTTTATATTTAATATAAAAGAATAAATATAATCTCATTCTAAAGCTGGGATAAATTCTAAAACAACTCATCGAAAGATAAAAACGTTATTTGCAATTCACATTAAATGCATTAATAATTCTGGCAGCATCGTATATCCTTTGTGCGTGTAATTTATTCTAATTGTAAGCTATTAGATATATTAGAGTTATATGTCCTCAATTATTGGTAACATCTCACGTTTTGAATATCGTGAGACTATTGTACTATTATAAATTTTTTTTAAATTCTAACTTCATTTTGATCCATTAATAGTTTTTAATTTTAGATTAAATTTATGAAGCGATTAATTGATAATTTATTCAGATTGTTATTATCATTAAAGATTTTTGCAATTCCGATTAGAAACCTTCCACCCCTTAACTACATATATCAAATCTTATATTATTTTTCCGTACTCATTGAATGTACCACTGAAAATGTTACTTTTATAATGTTTTTTCGCAAAGTAAGACTAATCAACGATCAATGCATTTTACGCTTTGAAACATATTTTTAAGCGGACATAATATATTTTTAATTCGACTAGTTGTATGTGTGCATCTAACACGAATTACGACGATGAAAATATAAACAAGAAGAGTAACGTAAAATTATATATATACGATACAAACACACAACACAGATTTCTGATGTTAAATAGCTTTGTTCCTAGGTATTAAACAAAAATTATGAATATATTAAAAATCTCTACATAACGTCAATTAGATTGTATATCTTATTATACATATCAGTTATAATCATACGTATCAAAGAAAAATTCCATAAATCGAAATCTAATCGACGTTTACGTATTGACCTGTAACTGTAGCCGTTTGATGATATCGTCGCCTTCCAGCAAAATCCTCATTTTCTTCATTCAATTGTGCAGAACAAATTTCAACACCCGGTGGTACAGGTGTTACAACGATTTGTTCATAATCATAAACCTTTCTCCTATAACGAAAAAACAGATTTACAAAATGCAATCAGATTTCCAACAATAGGAAATATTACGAATTAATTACGAGTCGCTTAATTACCCCATAAGTCTTAACAATGAAGTTCTTAACCATTTGAAGAATTGAAACTCAGCAGAAATTCCAGGCTTTACGGCCGGATTAGCATGACCTACATAACTCCATACAAGGAAAACGACAACAATGTTTGCGATAGCATAACCCCAATGAACCAGAAACATGATGAATAATTTTACCAAACACTGTAAGATTCATTAAAAGCTAATGTATAGTGTTTTATAATATATCTAATACGTATAATTTTTTGCAGAATACTTACACCTAAGAGTGAAAACCATCTATTACACAAAGGACTATACCAATTCCCCAATTTATTATGTATATGAACTTTTCGTTCGATAGAACTTGTACTGTTTTCTTCTAAACTCGGCGATGAATCTACATATCCATTGTTTTCAGAAATGCTAGAGCTTCTCTATTATATAAAATATTTCGTTTTTTATCAAGTTTATTACTTTATAATAAACGTATTTTAGATAAACATAGACACACTCACCAAATTTTTATGCCTTATTCTCTCAGGAAATAAACTATCTAAGTCATTATCTATTTCTGTTAAAGAATTATTCCTACTAGCGGAACCATAATTACGATCAAATGTCGGAGATTGCGTTCTGAATCTTTGTTCTCTCATATATCGAATATCAAAAGTTTGAGCAAGTGCAAAATAAGCGTAATCTAAACACGCATATGTTAGAAGGAATGGCATTGTTACAATAGGTGCAAGAGTATTAATTTGACCAGTAATTATAAAAGTTAATGTAACTGCAGCCACAACCAACATAGCATAAATAGGCACCTTATTTGGTCCTCTCTGAAATAATTTGTACGGTGAATTTGTTATCACTCTATTTGCAAAATCTTTTAAAACGTTATAACAATATTGTACTTACTCCTCTTTGTAAACAACTTATTCCTGGAATAACATTCTGACTAGCTATAGACTGAAGAACACGAGGTGTACCATACATTGCACCTAAACAACTACTAAATGAAGATACATAAAGACCAGCAAGAAGAAGTACTGAAATTGCAGAAACCGTTGATGCTATCATAAAATTTGTAAGAAGAGCAGTCCTAGTACATGTTGCTGCCAAGAATAGTGAGAAACAAAGATATAGTACTGTTCTGAAAATTGATCCATCATATTATTAAATTTAATATTCATTATATTTTACTTTTTTTTTATCAACAATTCCTACCCAGTTCCCAAAGCTGCCAATGTACCATGTGGTATATCAGTTGATGGATGCCTCAAATCACCACTCATATTAATACCGGCTAAAACACCAGTAACTGTAGGAAAAAAGACACCAAAAACTGTGAACCAATTATAACCATCTTGATAATCAGGAAAAGTGTTGTTTCGTAAATTTCCAGACAACCACCCCTCAAATCCAGCATCTGTAACAATTAATTATAAATATTATCTGTCAGATACATATATTATATTATAACTTGACAAATAATCTCACTGGGATCTTCGTGTGTGAAACTTCCAACCATGAAATCTACCCCAGCAAGGAGTAATATTAAAAGAAGTACGAACTGTAACTTAATGACCCACTTTACACCTGCTATATTGATCGCAGATAACAAAATAACAGCAGCACAAGCAAAACCTCTCTGGGCCCAAGCAGAATCTAAACCAACTAAACCTGCCATAGATTCTCCAAATCCTAGAACGTTTAAAGCACAACCTACAGCCTGAAATAAAATTTATAATATACTCTATTTCATTTCTTAGTAACTATTACACTAATTATTTCCCACCTGTCCAAAACAGTAAAGAAGACCAATGGATCCACCAAATCTTGATCCTAATACATGAGATAACAAAAAGTAGACTCCTCCACTTTCTACTCTACATCGTTCACATATACCCACTGCAGACAATACAGTTACTAGTGCAATACTAACTGAAAATATTATGCTCAATAAGATATAATATAAAGACACTTTTATAAATCATGTGGTCTTATTACTATTACCTGTAGAAAAAATGATCAGTGCTGCATTTAAAGCTCCAGCTTGACCAACTATCCAACCAGATCTTAAAAATACAATAACTCCAAAAATATTGATTAGACAAGAAGTAAAAACACCATCCCAAGTACCAAATAATACCGGTTGTGATATAAAAAAATTGGATTTCCACCATGGATCAGCACTCTGATAATATATAATATTAAAGAAATAAAATAAAAAAATTAGATATTGTTATAATCTATTAAGATACTTACATACTCTTGAGCAAACAATTCATTTGCTCCAGTTTGATACATTTCTGAACCAAATTCTTCATAGCTTCCATTATTTCTTTGTGAATTTCTTTGCATTTCTGTATTATGTAAACCATATTTGGACCAATCAACATTTCTGTCATCGTTAGGATCCCTACTTGAAACTTGATCTTCGTTATTTGGTCCCATTATTCCTTATTATAACAGTTAATATAGATATTTCAGTCACAAAATTCTCATTGAAATATATCTAAGAAAAATATCTACTCTTCTTTCAATGTCAAATCCTCTTTTAAATAAATTAAAAAAGTTGCCCATTAAATCACAGTGTAATAACTATTACTACTTTAAACAGCAATGCATTTGATGTATTCGTTGAGTAAAATCTTTCTATATCGCATATTTTAAGGCATATGCAACTAGATGAATTTTATATAATTGAGCAAAATATAACATAACATTGGACACATTAATACTAATAAGAAAACTTAAATATATTTAGACACCAGCATATTTGTTATAGGTTAGGAAATATGTTTCACTAAAGACACGCAGTTTTTAATATTGTTTCCATGCACAATAACATCTCGAAATAAAATCCTCGATAACTTCTTTTTTATATCAATATTTTAGATCACTGCTATCAAGTGAAAGATATCGCGAAATGGTGACGTGTATTTCCAATGTACAGCAACCATGTTGCTTTCTATAATATTAATCTGCGTTTGACTATAGAGCTAACTGTAGATATATTAGAATCCCCTGTGTTCCGTTCAAAAATGAACGCTGACATCACACTTGAGACATTTCCAAGTATTCGCATGTTGTTTAAGACTGTTTATTACTCCTGATTTTATAATGGTTTACGTCAACAATAAGTTCAGCAATAATTCTTCATCAATTTTGATGAATAAGACTACATTTTAAAGATGAAGATTCAACCAAGGACATAGCTTTTCCGAAATTTTAAAAAAGTTTTATTTTTTTTGAAAAAAATCGTCTGAAAGAATGGTGTTTTTTCGAAAATAGTTCATACATAAAAATAAAACTTTTTTAAAAATCCTTTTATTTTTTAATAAAAGCTATATTCTCGCTTAAACCTTTATCTTTAAAATAAGATCTTGCTCATCAAAAACGATTAAAATTTACTCCTGGACTCGTTGTTGGAATAAACACTGTTTTCGACATTTTTTGTGAAATAAAAGTTACGTATAGTAGCGCTTTTTAAACTTTACGGCAAAAGAAAAGAAGTTTCTATCTCCTGATTTTTATATAAACGCTAGAATGTGTGTATTTTGTTTCCGTAAAGTAGTTGATTGTTGCCTTGTTTGTATGTATAAACTGATACTCAAATTTTTTAATCTATTCCAAATGCAAGGAAACACGTGTTTTGTCATGCTCACACGAAAAAGCCATGATGGTAAATCATTCAGGCATTTTAATGAATTTTCAACTGATGGTTCCATGGAAAAAATAAACAAATACGTGTTCAATCGTTCATGCTAAAGGATCATAAAAATAATATATAATTTTATAATAATTTCATAATTATTTTAACAATGTATAATGTATAGGAAGTATAGTTAACTAATATTTAAACAATAGTACATTTGCTTAAACATTTCATAGCTCGAAATATGCATTAAATATAAAATAGAATTAAATTAATATTTATATAGAGTAAAAAATTTGAACCTGCGGTCATTAGCTGTTTACGTAAACAAAAATGAATTTTTCACTTTGATTTTTATTAAAAGAATTTTCTTTTGGATTTCAACGAGTAAAGATCGAACCACTCCCTCTCCCAACAGGTAAGATTACTTAAACAATTTGAAATGTACACTTTCATCTAATATTAACAAAAATGGACTTCGTTGTCTTAGGGCAGGATACTTATCCTGCAGTAACAACACAGAAAAAGTATATTTTACAAGATATATTATATTTTAAGGCAGGATATTTATCGCGCAACAACAACTTATCATCTAGATAAAGTATATTTTCCATTAAACATTTGATAAATAATTTTTACAATTTTTTCTTATAACTAAAAAATAATTTTTTCTTTTATTTTTCTGTTTTAGAACAGCATTGCAATTGTGCATAAAGCAATGAAATTAAGTTTTTGTATCGCTAAAATAAAAATAAAAATAAAAATATCGCGAAGCAAAAGCAATGTTTGTTTGAAGTTTTTTGCTTTTTTAACAATTTCATAGACTATATGTATAAAAAGAAACAGTAAAGTTTATGCGAACAGAATTATTTTATATTTTATGCATTTTTATTATTTAAGTCGAGTAATAAATTTTTCGCATTTTTCTTTTCTAAGATTCAATAATATTCATAATATTGTTTTAATTTATATTAAAATCAAGTCATAAATTATTCACTTTTTCTTTTGTAAAGTTTAATTAAATTCATAATTTCATTCTTATAAAATCAAGATCTATATTATAGTCATAGCTACGAAGTGTTAATATTAGAGTCATTAAATTAGGGCTTTTTAAGATTACGAAACGAATAGAAAATAACAATTTGGAGAACACTGGCATTGCACATAAGGATGAAAGAAGTATCCTTAAATATACGTCATGCTCTTTTTTCCATAGCGTTTCCATAGTTTTTCCATAATATTTTCAATAGCAGGAAGCGATTAAGGATTCAAAATTTTTCATTTTTCGATAAAAATAATTCAATATAGGTTAAGAAATATATCAAAATTATGAATATTTGAAATTTGCATTTATAGGAATATAGATTTATTTGTGGTATATGCGAGGTATATTTGTGGTATATACGAAGAAGATAATAAAACGTATATATGAGCAATATATAACGCGATAGTATTGATTTAAAGTCGATTGTATTGATCGCAGTTTTTTTTGTTTTTTATTTTTTTATTTTATATTCAAATTTTTAGAAGAATGTAAGGTCTTTTCTATTAAATGAAATGCAAAACGATTTTTCTTTACTTTTTGATTAAGATAAATTAATCTCATCGTATTATTGATTTTTCACGCTTTCTTCTAAAAGGCATTGAACGTAATTGAGATTTTACTCGATTTTAAAAGAATAATAATAATATAAAAGCTGAGTAATTTTTAGACGATGCATTTTTTAATGCTTACTTTATTGGTACTGTGAATCTCCAAATACAGTAACCTTCACGTGGTAAGATCCGAGCCGGTATTATTTGCGATATATCTAAATCTATATCTAAATTATATAACGCAAGTTCTGCTGAGCAAATAATTGCATGTAATAGTTTAAATAATTATTCTAAATTAATTATTCTAGTTTCTCTAGAAAGGTGAGATCCTTGAATGAAGCCCTCGAGTGTAGGCCGTTGGGAAGGCTGCTGTCTTAGTATTTTGCAGAACTCTTGGATGGGACTCTTGGGAAGGACACTTAGGTATAGATCTTTGAGAGAGGCCTTGGGCTGATCTCCTTGCAATAAAGAAAAATCGAGCTTGATTTTGCTACTCTGGTTTTGTTCAAGTAAAACAATATTCGATATGTCTACCTCTTGTTCTGAATTCCATCATTTTCACTCGCGCGCGCGCATATTCCGATTTTCTTTTCTTCTCTTTCTCTTCTTCTCTTCTCATCTTCGCTTTCTCTTCTTCTCTTCTCATCTTCGTTTTCTCTTCTTCTCTTCTCATCTTCGCTTTCTCTTTTACTCTTCTCATCTTCGCTTTTTCTTCTTCTCATCTCATCTTCGCTTTCTCTTCTTCTCTACTAATTCTTTTTCTCTTCCTCTTCTTCTTTTGTCTTTTTCTGACTAACCTTCTTCACTTTCCTACTAATTTTCTTCTCTCACTATTCTTTTCTATCTCCTCTTTCTCAACTAATTTTTTTCTTCTTTTTCTCTCCTTCCCTTCTTTTCCTTCTTTATTTTTCTTCATCTGCCGGTGATTGCTCGTCGAGAATTCGATATATCGGCGCAGGTCCAATGTATCGCCGACAACTTGATTTATCATCGAAGATTTTACATACGAGTACGGATAGGATAGAGAAAAAAAAACTCGTGAATGCATTGGAGGACACAGCCCTGAGTGTTTGCCACGATTAAAAGTTCTACCATGGACTTCGTTTTATTGCTCAAAATTTCGATTAGAAGATCATTCCCAGAACGTGAATTTTAGAAGAGAGTCACCATCAGCTCATGAGTTTCTAAATGCACCAAACTCCACGTGTTGAAGCTTGGGTCTCCACTCTGTGGTGAAGCCAAAATGAAAATTGCATAAATACCAACGTACTACTCGTACCATTCTTTCTCTATCGTCATAGCATGCAATGCTATTCTTTTATAAATATCTTTATAATATTATTCTTCAAGTAAATCATATTTACCTTACAAATTGATCAGGATGAGTAAAATAATTTGCATACATTTCAAGAAGCAATCTACGTTCCAAAATAAAGGTAAACAATGCAACTTTGATTAAACCCATATCAATTTTTACTTGTGACAGAAGATGTTACAATTGATCCATGAATTTCCATGGAATCCACTAAAATGAAAGATGATAATTTGAGTTTAAAAAAATGTTAATTATTAAGTATATTTTAAAAAATTTAAAGATACTAATTTTCTGTCTAGCTCTTCCTCGTATAAGGCTGTAGATACACACATTTTATCATAAAAAAAAATAATACAATTGCAATATTTATACATTAATAGGTATTTTCTTATTTTGAAAATAAGTCAATGATCGGATTTATATTTTTTAATGTCTATTATCAACTTAACTCTACATTTTGAAAAATGAATGCATAACATACTATTTTTTTAAATATACTAACTTATTTTTTTTAAATATACTAATTAGTATCGATTCCTAAAAACTCTCACTTCTGTCAAAATTAGTTATAGTTAATGCAAAATACCTTAGTGTATTTATAATATATTTTATGATATTTATAAATCATGAATAATTTGATCATATATAAAACAAAGATCAATAAAACTTTCATATAACTGTATAATAGTTTACTATTATTATATGTTTTGTAATATTCCAATATAGATTCAATTGTTCTTTCTAAAATTAATTATTAAATTTCTCAAAGAAAATTGACTATCCATACAACACAGAATTTCACATATTATGGAGCATACTATCAAATGAATAATCACAGCATTCGGTAAAGTCAATTCCGATAAATTTGTATTATCGACATTTAAAACACATTCTAGAGAACAGCATATTCATTGCAAATTGGGTAAGAGTTTTGGAAAAAAGAAATGTTTACTATCCTATTTCTTAATTTTTACAATATATAAAAGAAATTGATATTAAATATTTAATAAAAATATATACATACAACAAATGAAACAAAATAACATCATTTTGTTATATGATTAAAGTGTTTCACAGCTATTGTAAATTCAGTTTTATTTTCATGTTCTTTTTATTATATTGTAGAATAATTAATAGGTACTTACCATCATAGTCTACAGAACCATCTCCCTTTATAGGTAATAATGGAGATTGTTTACGCATATCTCCAGCAATTTCTCTAATTGATTGAAAACGATCACTTCATCATCTATTACACAGTGTGTTAATGCGTTATAATATTAAATAATTTATATACACATCTTTATATTAATTTGTTAATATGATATTAATATTTGTTAGTATTTCATTTAATTAAATTCTTAATATTTCAATCAATTTTGTATAAAAATATGAAATAAATATACTTATAGTATGATATGATTTTGTGCTGTCAAGGGAGATGACAATTCATCAGCAGCATCAATAATCTTCATCTTCATTCGATAAGGAATATAAAAATTGAAATACTGGAATATCTCTATTATCTACAATTAAAACATAATAAAGTACACTTAATAATTTCTATAAATGTAATAATTTAATATTTTTAAATATAAATTAAGTAGAATATCAACCATTGGATAAATTAGGTATTCTTGATTCTGTATATTTTGAATCCAATTCAATATCAATTTGCACTGTTGATTCTATAACTGCAACTATAAATATTTCATAAATCAATATTCGAAAAATTACAACACACAATCAACAACACAATACACAATTACAACAAAATGAACAATTTACATGAAAATAATCAAATAAATATCATAATTCATAGGTGGTGTACCATTCATTGTATCAGTAGGTCCTCTATATATACCATTAACAGGAATAACTATGTTCTGAAATTATTCGCAAGAGAATGAAAAGTTGGCTTTAAAAGAATGAAATATATAATATCTACAATACCTTTGCAATTTGTAATTGGACGATGATATACTTAACAGAATTCAGCATTGCATTTGCTTGTGTCAAAACTACTGCATAACTTTCTTGCTTTTCTTCATTTTCTGTCTCTATACTTTCCTATTTTGTTTCAATTAATTTTATTTGATCAATTAACACTTGAAGATAAGCATCTGCTTTTGCCATTTCATGATTGAAATCTTGTTTGGGTGGTGATATTTTTGGATCTCATCATTGAATTTCATATATAATTTTTCTATATACCTGTATGAAATAACATATAGAAAAAAATAAAATGATGTGTTTGTAATCATACTGCATGCGAGTAATGCAGTATTGTATCTTCTAGAGCATGGATCCAACGTTTACGTTCTTCATCATTACGTATTTGAAAATGAAAAGTTTTCGGATCATCTTTGTATGATGATGTAGTTATTGTAAATGTATTGTCATTTTCATCATCAGTACCTCTATCATCCACATCTTCCACGAGCACCACGCATAAAACCTAATTAAATTATTTAAAAAGCCCGCGAATTTATAACGAAGGGTGTAACTTATAAAGAATACTAATATATTTTATAGATTTTATATAAATTTTAAACGATATTCACAATATAATATGATAATAAATTACCATTATCTGACATCTAAAACAAACCACTGATATTGCCATCTATTAACATTTGTCCATTTACTGAGTGAACCTTTCATCGTCGACATTATTTGTTGCGCTCTTGCTGATTATGACTATTAGAATTTATATAAAAATCAGAGTGGAAACTTATAAATATAAACCTTGGAATCAAGTTCTAATCTGTAACGAACAATTTCATTCGCAAACACATGTCAGGCTCGATCGAATATTTACACAGTATTTACATGGGAACAATCCAACCTAACAAATATAAAATAATTTCAAATATCAAATTGCATTTTTTAAATATTTATTGTGAACTTTTTCTTTTCGCACTCATACAAATCTTAAATATGAAAATATTTTTATTAAAAAGTATTTAAATTATTAAAATCGTTGAAGCAAATATATATAAATCCACCTATTTTTTTATTAAATAATATTCAACTAAATTCCTTTGTAAAGATCGAAATTTTCTTTTCACGTTAATAATAAAGCATTTAAAGTCCATATTATTTTGAACAGATTTATAGATAATTTTTTATGGCATTGTAATGAATCGCCATCTATGTAATTCATACACAAAGAAATTTATGAACTACCATTTTGCCTAATCAGTCAATGATACGTGTTATTGCAAACAAAGAAAAAGTAGTGTAGTTTAGAATTATTTATTTTATTTCGAGCTATTAGCCAGTACACAACAATATTTAGCAAAAAATATTGTTTTATTTATTTAAATTATTTAAAAGTTAATTTAATAAGTCATGAGTTCAGAATTAGTACTAGGCATACGATTGAATTCACAAAATTTGACAACTATCAAATTACGCGATATTAATTTAAAAAATAGAGTAGAAGATTTAAGATACAAGACTGCAGCAAAAGTTAATTTATCTAAGGAGTCATTTGGTGAGAAAATTAATTCATTTTTAATTTAGAAATTTCAGTTTTTTAACCTATCTTTATCATTGGATTTCATATCTTTCAAATCTTTATTATTTAATAACGTGTTATTAAACAGAGCTTATATATTGTGGATGTATTCTGGAAGATGACATAACTTTAGAAGCTTGTGGACTTAAAAGTGGTGCAATGGTGCATGTTTTAATGAAAAAGGAAGTAGAACCTCCAGTACCAATAAAATATATATCAGAAGAAAGTATTCTACAACTGGCTTCTACATTTAAATCTTTTATTGAAAATCCTGCATTTAGAAGCGCTTTACATGTAATTATCAATAATATAATATACTTTTAACTAAATATATAAGTAACTAAAGTAAAGATTCTCGCATAATGTATTTCAGCGTTTAAGTAAAAGACCAGAAGTTATAGATAACATTATTTCATCATCTCCTGGATTACATGAAGACTCTGTTGCAATTGCTATGTTACAAGATCCTGATCTAATGGGTCATTTTACAGATATAGATACTATTAAAAGGCAAGATTTTTATCAATACATCTATACATTTATCAATAAATCTTTACTAATATATTAAATCGCATAATGTTAGTATTTTTATTATTAACTTATTTAACTATATTACAGAATTGCTGAATTACATCCAGTACTTATAGAAGCTGCACAAAATTTAGCTGCTGCTGTACACGAAGAAGCTCATAACAATGCTACTGCTGGTTCTAATTCCTCCATGTTGAATACACCACCTACCGCGTACTCTTACAGTTTAGATAATTTGAGCGATGATGAAGAAATGGCTGGAGATTCTTCGCAATCCTCAGACTCTACTCAACCATCGAATTTATCTGCTAATTCATCGAACACTATTACTACAGCACGACTTGCGGCTGCTCTTTCAAGAGCGGGAAGTCGCGCTTTTCCATTATCAAACTCTCCATCTTCTACATCAGCTAGTAGTACAAATTCAGGTGTTATAACTAACGAGATGTTTACACAAGCTATGCAACAAGCATTTGCAACGACTCCTGCTTCAACAGCTCCAGCAGCTCCAACAGCTCCAACTTCATTATCACCTATGTTACATCCCACTCTTCCAGAATCTACAGATTTACAAAGACAATTGGCGCAAATGCACGAAATGGGCCTTCAAGACGATAATACTAATGTTCAAGCTTTAATACTAACAAATGGGAATGTACAAGCGGCGATCGAACTTGTATTTAATAGTTTTAGTGATAATTAGGAAATTTATAATAAAAGCTCATTTTCAAAATCACCAATAAGATCTTCTTATCTCATTTCAAAATTTCTTATTAATCTAAATACTTTGTTAACAATTGCTAATAGGATTATATAAAATTAAACATGTATAAAGTAAATGTTCTCTTAAAAAAGATTATGTTTTCGTTATTTATTGTTATTTGTTTAAATTATCTTATCAAAAAAAAAGTTAATTAATAATAAGGAAATTGTATAATATACATATAGATGTTGGATATATATATATATATAAGAAATTAAGGAAAATAGAAGCAATTAAAAAAAGTTACATATGAAATATTATAAATTTATTTATTGTATATTTTTATAAAAAAAAAAAAATACATATGTTTTTTAATCGCATACATTATTCTTGGAACACGGATAATAATATGATGTAATTGAAAACAAATTAATGGACATCGTTCAATACTGGAAGAAAGTTTTAGATTCGTTTTAACTAGCAGCGTGATATTTATGACTGAAGTAATAGGGCATAGTAGTCGAGTAACAAAGAGTAACCGAATGGTAGGGGTGGTAGTGGAGCGGTGGTGGTGGTAGCAGAATACTTGATGGAGAGAGGGTAACCGCTTACTGCTCTTCTCCCTAGAGGTTGTCAGTGACAATCGAACTGTCGCGTCGTTAGAACACTCGGAGGGAATTTCTCGAATTGCGCAGGCGAGAAGAGCGTCCGTTACACCCGGCTCCCGGTCAAGTACGCGTGTGTATGTCCAATAATCGCACGTGTATAAAGAGAGACGCGATCGTGTCGATATTTATAACGGAACTCATCATAGACATCAGATTTATACAATCTGGAACAGAAAGGTACGAACAGAAGGCGAAGAAGATGGGAATTACATTTGTCTTCGTTAGAAGGTTATACGCAAGGGTAGTACTGTATATTCTGTTGATTGTATTATCGACAGGCAGACGCATATATTAGACATAAATATATATATATAAAAGACTAAATACGAAAAATAATTGTCGTAATAAGGGAAGCGATCATTCTTTTATTAAATCATAGATTCGTTTCGTATTTTTCTCTCTCTCGTTACAAAATATAACCGATTCTTTCGAAGGTTCTTTCGTAAAAATGACGCCAGAGCGCGGTAACGATTTTCTTTTTTTCTGTTTTCTTCCCTTTTTTATTTATTTATATTTTTTTTTTAAATTCAACCCCTTGCCATATGATTTTCAGTGATATGTTGCACGCAATGGCGAAGAATTGACACCGTTAGAAGAGGGACGTTATCCCGAGCACGAATTTTTGAGTTCTTCCTCTTCTTCTTCTTCTCTTCCTCTTCTTCCTCGTTGGCTCATTATGAGGAGAAAAAGGTGCGGCGCCTTTTTCAACAAATATCTATACTTCTTACCTGGACGATGGAACTATTTTTCACCCGTGAGTCGTAATAAGAGAGATCAAGGCAGTCAGCCTCTTCGCACTATTCTCTGCTTCTTCTTTTTTTCTTTATTTTTTCCTTCTCTTTCTCTCCCCCTCCCCTTCTCCTCTTTCTCTCTGTCTGCCTGTCTGTCTCTCTCCGGCATCTTTCATTAGATCCCGCTCGTATTTTCAAATGATCAAAAAAAGAATATTCTCTATTCAACTAGTGCGTTTCCTTTTCCTACGATCGAGCGATCATATATTACGTATTCGGCAAGTCATGATTATATATGTTCTTCTTGGAACTAATTTATATTGTAACGATTAATTTCTCGTTCGATCGAATTCCGTAGACGTTAGAAAAGTTCTGCTGGCATGGTTAGTTCGAGCATGCATGTCCATTTAAATCGTATTCTAGGTTAACGACATTTTCAACTGAGAACGATCTTTTTTTTGCGATTTCTTATGCGATTTCAATAAGATTCATTCAGTGATTAAAATCGATCATTCGTTATCGTCGTCTAAGATGGTGTCTTTGTAAGAATGCGTTTCCATTTTTGAGAATATATATATATATATATATATATATATATATATATGTGTGTGTGTGTACGTATGGATTGAAATGCGTAAAAGAAAGAAATTTCATTCGTCCTTGAATACATTAAACTCTCACCGTAAATTTCGAGGTCGCTATTAAAGTATACAAATGGTTAATGAATCGGCGACAAGAGAAATGCAAATAGAAGAAAACGTCTTGTTTGATCTAATTAAATCGATTGTCGTTATTTCAATGTATGTATATACATATACTTGTTCCTACTGAAACGGTTTAATTAATTATTCAAAGTATTTTTATAACATTTTATTAATTCTGTCCTTTATTTAAAGATACGTGCTCTTCTTCTTTTCAAATCTAATGAAAATTTTTGTTCGCTATTGATATTTCGATTTTTTTGTTCTTTTTTATAACCATACATACATACATACGAGGACTCATAATATCAGCGTGAAAACATAATTTTATTTTCAAACAAATCTCGAGATATCGCGTATCGAATGTACATATAAATCGATTATCGTCGTTCGAATATGTACGAATATCGTCGAGGTTTAACGATATATCATTTCGTCGTTAGAATTTCAAATATAATGTGACACATGCGTATTACACGTTTTATCAATTTGGTCGATTAATTAAGTCGGTGTCGAGAGAATAAGAAGACTTAAATAATAAGACGAAGAAGTGTTCACTCGCGTGGAAACGTGGATTGTACCAAAGGAGCAGTTAATTCGATGATTAAATGACTCCGCACATTAACGTGCTAAGAGACAGTAATTATGCATGCGCTGAGAAATAAACAAGTGTAATTTCATAATTGTCTAGCATAAGTCATGCGGTACTCGTTAACTAATTGTGATCACCGGCCAAGGGCAGTATGATTGGCCGTCGATCGATCGATCGCTCGAGGATTGCAACTTCGTAGAAAAAGAATCGCGCTTATTACGTTGTTCTTTTTATTTCTTATTTCATGAATCACATAGTTAAAAGGATCATTCTTGTTGGCAGGAATTCAAAGAAGATCGGTGATCGGTGAAGATTCCTTAATAAATCAAACGTTCTACGAAAGAGAGAGACAAGTTTTGTAAGGAATTTCTTAAAGAAATTCTAAAAGGAAGAAAAATGGCGCATGAAAATGGTATAAACGGGGACACAGATTCCGAGACGGTGGAGCTGAATCCTCTTAGAAGAACGAGATTCCACGTGAACCGAGTGGACAGCGTCGAAGGTCGCACCAGTCTTTTAGGCGAACAGGAAACGAAAAAATCCCTGAGACACATGACGAGGGAAGCTTTACCTAGGCTCGACAATTATAGGAATATTATGAGTATCCAGGCTGCTCACAGACCCTCGCTCGATGAACTCCACAATCCTACCCTTCTTAACAAGGTAACGCGAAATGAAACTCTTTTTCTACTTTTT